TGGTCGCCTGATCGACAGTGATTTGTTCAATGGAGTACACAGGAAACTGAGATGCGTATTCAAACGCCGAACTCTCCTTTGTCTCGAAGTATATATGCAAGCGGTCAGCGAAAAAGAGCGTAGGCGAATTGAATAGGTTGATATTTCCAGCGAATGGGTCACTGAGAACAAGAGAACAGGTACTAGATAGCTTAATATTCACGGACGGACTCTGCCTGTTCGTTGAAACTGTATTTGAGAGAGCGGGTTTCATAATCTCGAAGTCTGGAGCGAAACCAGGAACTGACGCCGTTCTCTCCGTGGTAATAGCGATAGGACATTGTACAGCACTTATTGTCGACATGGAGGCTAACATAGGAAGTAACGTGCTTTCATTCGGGCACGGATGGACTCTCGTTTGACCTTTTTCTCGAGCCTTGATGGTCTCTCGAGCATAGTTCAGTAGGAAGTCATTGAATCGGTGCTCCAGGTACTTGAACGACGAAGCTATTGGTAGTCGCCAATTGGGGTACAATCTCCCATGCGTGCGTGATGTGTGCATCTTGCCATGGCTATGGATCAATGCATGGCATAGAAAGCAGGCATCCTTGCTGGATCCAATGACCCGTGGGAACAACGGAGCCGACTGGGTTTCGCAGTGGGCTATAAGCTGGACCTCTGCATGGATCTTGGCTTCCCGAAGAATTCTAGTCGTTTGCTCGCAAAATTGGTCGCTCGGATTCTTGATCTTGCCACCATTTATGAATCGGGAAAACTGGGAGATGGTATAGTCTTTGCCATTGATTTTCCCTAAACGGCATAGCACGGCTGAGAGACTGGGCGAGTATGCGGGGTTGTGAAATTTATCGAAAGCCTCTTGAGGAAGAGTCACCAGATGAATCTCAATGTTTCGGACAAAAGGGAACTTCTTCGCAGTGCGATAAAGCACTCGAGCGGCTTCTTTATATCGGGATATCTTTCGAATTATGTTGAGTACAGTAGCTGCGAAAGTTGATTCATTGATTACCCTTTTGGAACCGGTGGGAATCAAAAGAAGGAGTTGCTGCAAGCCTTGCACATTGTTTAATTGGTATATCTTCTCCACGATGTCATGAAGACGTGAGGGGACGCGATAATTAGACCACTCGTTGACGGATTGGATAACCCTTTTGGACTCCTCGTGGAATAACGACAAGCTGTCTTCTAGGTAAGACTGGCGGAGCTTCTGCGGATTTATTTGCTGAGTGCCTTCCGTCGCCTTTCGCAGAATATCTTTGATGGAGGCTTTAGACTCTCTCCATTTCTTCCCAGTAAGGCGTAATCGACAAGCAATCCGAGAGGAGCACATTTTTACGATCATCTCTAGGAGTTGTTTCGTGATCTCCGTAGAGCTGCCTCTCTCTGACCAAATACGAATCAGCAACTACCACGAATGGAGGAGCACAACGAACCATATAGAGATCTTCGGAGAACATCAAAAATATTCTCAAACCCCGTTTTCAGAGATTGAAGTAAGCCATTTCCATCGGCATATGTCCTCTTATTGATCGCCAAGAGGGCTTTTAATGCTCTCCCATTGGGGTCCTGCTCAATACACATTGCAGGAATGAAATCCGGCCCCTCTTTAGTTTTTGCAAGAAAGGAGAGAATTTCCACTAGGTCTCTTTCTTTGGAAAATGGAAGTATATAGCCCTTTTCGAGTACTCGAGAGCGTTCAGTGGGTTTTTGTTGCGGTGATTCAGGGACTTCATGGAGTAGATAATTGAGAGCAATATTCTCTGCACAATTTGTAGCAGCAATATGGGATTCGCCGGTCATCGTGCGAGGCCTATGGTGACTAGAGCGTCGGAAAGAATACGCAACTGGAACACGACGAGATCTTGAATCACGAACAATAGATTAGCTAAGAGGCCCCAGCCGCAAGAATGCTGGGGGCGAGACTATTTTAATTGCTAAAAGAAAAGAGGGAGAGAAACGCAGATGGACCTTGTAAATCGGACCAGTCGAATTTGTAGAGGAGGGCAAGAAAACAATTTCATTGGGCTCTGTAGCACGGTTGGCAGGGATCCCTGCTGCTTGTTATCACAAACCGTGAGGCGTCGCTTGCCAACTACAGCGGTGCGATCTTATTCGCAAATCCTAGGAACGTGCAGCCTCATACTGACCCCGCCTTCTTCGCACAACACCAAGACCATTCCTACCACCAGTGCCTAAAAATATTCACGATATCTTTCAATGAATGCGGTATGGATAGGCAGTAGGCCACGATCAGTCCTATTCCTCCGCGAGAGCGTCTCCGTCACACTCACCACACCGTAGCGCGGAACCATTGGGCAGGATTGTCCAATCTGCTGCGAATCGCGCTTTGGCATCTGCACTTCGCCATTTTGATTCTTGCAGTGCTAACTTCTACATAGCATTAGGCAACAGCGACGTATGCCCTCGGATTGCGATTGATCGTAGCAAAGGTATTCCTCCTCAGTGTTTGGGCTCAAGACCCCAGCGTTCCTAATCGTTGTCAGCAGTCAGTGCTGGAATATAGATGAGTAAGCCATGTAGGTCCACCAATAGAAATCACAATGAGTCTGAATTGCTAACTATGCCCCTATCTGACAATTTGTATGGGCTCAAATACATTACTAATCTTGGCGGATATACAGTTTTGTCGCACAACACCCGTTGCGAACTAATTCTTCAAGCCATAACTAGGTTCTTGAATTCTAAAACCCCGTTGTAAATTTTCTTCTGTATGAAAGAGTGCCTTGTACCAAGTACTCGTGAGCTATTCTATGACTTGGCTGGACGTTCTTGGCAAACATTGTTCCAAGACACTTCTAATATACCTTTATTCCCTTCGGGAATGTCAAGGATCTTGGCCTCGCAAACCCCATTCTGATCCACAATCATAGATGGGACATCGACAGGAAGTGGATTTGGATAGCGAAATACGCTAACCTCGTGCAATTTATACTTAACTTGACCCACCAGTCACAACAGCCTTATTCTTCGGGTGAGATATTTTGGGTCACGTTCTGGCCTATGCAACCATGCCCCATGTTGGTTGGGGTCTGTAGTTTTCTTCGGCTTACTTTGGGAGCCATCCAATCATCGATCGCAACGTGGCCAAATTCAATGTATCCTCTCTCAGCTCGAACAGCGGAGTCTGGCTGTCCCACTGACGCGATGTTGGTGAGGCTGAGGCTTGGCCACGATCCGTCCCGAATTCGTACCCAACGTAAAAATCGCCTGTTCCACACATTCTCTCAGTACGTAGCCCCATTCGTAACCACAGAATAACATTTTATTCTCTTCTCTTTACTACTACGCCAATAGGCCTCGTTGAGAATACCAACTCTTAAATCATGACGTTGACAGTCTCTCCAAAGCGATATGCTTTACTTGTCGGAATTGATGTGTATCTGAATGACGGCGCGAGGAAAAACAAAAATAAAGAAACTCTCATACTACAAAACCTGCGAGGATGTGTTAATGATGTCCAGGCACTCAAAGAGTTCCTCCAAAGGGAATTTCAAGCGCACGAACCTCGCGTCCTCACCTCTTCGCCCCTGTCCGTCACTTCGCCTTCCACTTCACCGACGGAGTCACCAGAGTTTAGACCGACATTTGAAAATATGTTATTCGACAGCAGTAGGCATGTTGGGACTGATGTTCAAGGAACCGTATTATCGTGTTGCATCAGGAGTCTAGTTATTCTAAGTCTGTATATCTTCTTTGTAGCTCGGTCTTGGCAGCGACAAAAATCGAGATGCCCTCGTTAATGTCGAAGGATATATAGATCCAACGCTCACAGTTACAAGTAGTGGTACTGTGCTATAGCATTGGTTGGACAGTTTCTCTAGAGTCCAAGATCTGACAGCAAAATTAACAGTGGTCGCGCGACAGAGGGTGAGTCTTATCTGCTCTCACCCCGTATCTCACCCCGTCGATTGCGCGCTCACCCTACTCACCCCTAGTCGCGCGACTGTAAAGCGGCGATCATCCATTTCCCGACCGAGCTAAACTACCTTATTTGCTAGGATAGGTAAAAGGCGCGTGGCTTATGTGCGGCCAGGAGTCGGGTGGGTGTCGCCAGGGTGAGTTTAGCGTCAGCGCCGCTTTGAAGTCACGCGACCGCTACGGTACTGTGGAGAAACACTGCTTGTGGAAAACCCTTTTTGGAATCCCAACCTGAATTATTATGCTATCTGTTGTTTCCAGTGATTCGTCGAGTACGGCGGCTGCAGCAGTTGGGCAGAGCTCTGGAAACACGTATGGAGGCTGGGCCAGAAACAGAGCGGTCCTTTTCCGAGAGGAACACGCGCCTGCATTACCTCCCCGCCGCATCATTGTTTGATCAGCCGCCGCCCCACCCGACCGCCTTAGAACCTTTACCCATCACACATCAACAATCGCGAGATAAACCTGGCGCTTACGGCTTTGCGTCAACTGGGTGAAGGTTTACTCTTCTTGAATTATAAAAGCTCCTCCAGGCCCTGTAGGAGCCCAAAAAATAATATCCTCTTTATCATTGCACGAACATAACCATGACTGAACCCATCGGGCTGGCCTCCGGAATCCTTGCTCTGGCGTCGTTCGCGTTTCAATGCAGCGTCTCGCTTTATGAGACAGTGGACAGTTTCCGTTCGCATCCAAAGCGTGTGCGCGACCTTCTCGGCGAGCTAGAAGCTTTAAGTGCCGTGCTGGCTCCACTCGTCGACCTGGTGCAATCGACCTCTGAAGTCGATCTCTCGGTCCTCGATCTGCCACTATTGCGATGCGGCAATGCCTGCAAAGAGTTTCAGCAAGAGTTACTCCGATGCGCGTCCCGATCGGACAGTAATCGGACAAGCTTCCGCGGCTGGGCCAGGCTGACGTACATGGGTGATAATATTGACGATTTTCGCGACTTGCTGGCAGGATATAAGGCCACGATCAATATTGCTTTGACCGATGCAACTCTGTAAGTTACTCTCGGCTGCAACAGCAGCGTCTTTTCCTTTACAATTCTTCTTTTGTGTTGGTTACTAATCGCTCAGAAGACGCCAATCTACAGTCGCTGTTGAAAGCATCGGGGACTACGAGGGTCTCATCCAAGATGCAAAGGAGGACCTGGGAGCCCGACTCGAAAGTATTGATAGAAAGTTGGAGCAACTGGCTGAGAAGGATGTGGCCCAGTCCGGACCAGATGCGGCCGAGCTGCACTCGCTGAGAGAGGAGCGCCTGAGTACAGAGAAGTGCCTTCAGATTTGCGCCCAGTTATCGAGCCACATTGATCAGATTCAGCTGATATCCGACGAGGCGGGCCCGTCTCGGGGATCAATCGGAGCTGATGCGTCGCCCGAAACGGTCACAAACGAAGGTCTACAAGAATGCAAAAACAGCTTGACTGTGACGGCTGCCAAGTTGGAAAAGCATATGCGAGATATTATGGATCGGCTACTCGCGAAATCCAAGACTGCAGTCTCTTCTGACGAAGATGCTCAAGATCTGTCGAGGCTGCGCGACGAGTGGGAAACCGCTCGGCAGTGCTTGGATATTTGCTCACGGGCGGATAGCCACTTAAAGGAGAACGTCAGCGTTATTGAGAATTATGGCACAGGCGACGTTCTGCAGTTTATGGTCTCCGCGAACGGGAAGGTTCTTCATGGAAAGAACCGGGGTTTGGGTTGGAGGAACAGGCAAGTGGGAGGCTACGTAAGCAACGAGTCAATCCAACAGCTATCGCGAGACTTTGCATCTATGCACACCAGTCACTTGAGGAGTGAAGAACCCATCTCAAAAGATGGCGCCACGCCAAGCACAGGCGATGCGGTGAAAAGTGAGATGACGGCCGAATTCAAGGAACGATACGGGCGAGGCTTCACTCTCAGACCAGCGCGGACGCCAGACGCACAGCCGGCTTCACCCAGTACGAATAATGAGGGGGTAGAACCCCGAGGTGAAACATCGCGGATGTAGTTTGACCGGAGGAGCTTGCTTTGTCAGTGAAGAATCTGGCTTTCTGGGGAGGTTTTCTTTCTTTCTTGTATCCAGATGTTACAATGTACTTTTTGCATTTCTTCCGAAAGAGCTCTGGCTCGCACTCCGTAAAGAGTTACTCTATCATGCCAGCAAAATCGACAACATCAATCAAGGGAGACTGCGGCTCATGTTTGTCAAACTGTATTCTACCGGTTCCCAATGCGAGCTTCGTGGCTGACAGTGCCGGACATCCATGATGATAGATCAGAACGCACCGGTACCTCCTGCCTTCCTTTTTAGTCGTTTCAGGGCATTAGCGTGCGAAGCGCGCGTCACCAGTTACAAACCGTGGGCCTGCGCGAGGCTGACTCGAAGGCTGAGTTGACGCTGCGAGAACACAGCCAAATTTCGCGCCAAGCCTACTTCTCATTGGTCTGGTACTTGGCAATGCACGTGATTAGCTCTCGTCACGTGCTTTGTTTTCTGCTTCTTTGACTATTTTAGGCATACGGCCTACGACTGCGCGCGTTCCCAGTGATTTTGGGCGAAAGGTCTGGGGAATGCTAGGTATTGGGAAATGCACGTGATATAGCGATCTCAGTACCTGGGAGCTGGAAAATTCGGTTGGCCATCTTGTGACTCGCCTAATTTAGATATTCGGGCTCGGCTCGAGCCGATCCCGAGAAGTTGCTAGTCCCTTGCCCAACGAGACGAATGCCTCGCACAGGAGAGTGCTGTAGGAGTCAAACAACTATTATGTCCTCTTGTAGCATTATTCATATAATTTTTACAGGGTCTCAGAGTGCGATCCTCGATTCAAGGATACGCACAGCATATACATTTCTTGTGATCGAAAGTTTAAGACACCAGGCTAGCTTATCCAGCCTCACTAAGCCCAGAACCTTTTCGACATTCGACATGACATCACAAGATTCACACCGACTTTACTAGATAATGCTTGTACGACCCAGGGTGATAGATAGATGCAGATCCTACTCTCGCTGCTCTAACAATTGCGTCACTCTGTCTCAATACTTCTCTAAAACTGCAGCAAGTAATAAATATTAGATGGAAAGGATAGGTGCTATTAAAACCCTGCTTGCATAATATTGCCGTAGATTGCTACTATTAAAAAAAAGAAAAGAAAAACAGCAAAAAGAAAACAGAAAACATGTGGTACAAGAGAGGTGAGGGGGAATGTGCATAATGTATGTTACGTATTTAGAACCTTAATCATCTCTCTCTTTGAGTAGTTGCGGTAAGAGCAATATTCGTGTCATATCAAATAGCGGTCATAGACCACACCAATATATACGAATATCATGACTTGAATCGTTCTACTCTTTTAGACCACCAGTGCAAACACGCTAACTATCTTCTACAACAAGTATAACTGTGTCAATATGAAGGTGCTATCTCTTACCATGGCATTTGTCTTTGCCGCACTTGCGGTAGCAGGATCTGTGGATGGATTAGATGGCAATAAACTAGCTGAAAGATAGGTATAAAAATTTCCATCTAGGGAACACTCCAAATAATGTTCAAGTGCTGACTGGGATGGACGTGGATAGAGTGTAAGTGATGACCCTTGACTGAAGAGCGATGACTTTGAGCACGCAGTGCTGACTGGTCCATCTGGACGTGGATAGCGTGTAAGTGATGACCCTTGACTGAAGAGCGATGACTTTGAGCACGCTGACTGGGATGGACGTGGATAGGAAGTAAGTGTGACCCTTGACTGAAGAGCAATGACTTTGAGCATGCTGACTGGGATGGACGTGGATAGGATGTAAGTGATGACCCTTGACTTAAGATTGATAACTTTGAGCATCGAGTGCTGACCGGGATTGACGTGGATAGGGTGTAAAGGATGACCCTTGACTGAAGAGCGATGACTTTGAGCACGTAGTGCTGACTGGTCTATCTGGACGTGGATAGGGTGTAAGTGATGACCCTTGACTGAAAAGCGATGACTTTGAGCACGCTGACTAGGATGGACGTGGATAGGATGTAAGTGATGGCCCTTGACTGAAGAGCGATGACTTTGAGCACAGAGTGCTGACTCGGAGTGGCCTTTAGTAAGGCAGCCTTTGGAAAACTCCAATCAAAGTATACTTCCAACATGTTTGCCTTTTGTGAGTATTGAAAAGCATTTCATTAATGTGATATCGATCTTTGATGGAACAACTGATTCTGTCTATAGCGAGGTCTTTACTTTCAACTTTCTTTTATTTCGGCCTTGGTAAAGGTTTTCCCTGATTAGGTTTCCTCTACTGTTATGCGAATACAAAGGCTTTATTTTACAAATATTCAACTCCATTTTCCTTCTCATCCACGTAGTGCTATATAATAGATGATATTATACATGAGATTCGAAGATTTTTGATAGCATACCTTGATGGGTTACTGGTTAAGCTTAGCTTCGCGTCAACTGACATGCTATGAGTTGTTGCTGGGGTGGTCTCTATTAGCGAAGGATCCGCTGTATTAAAATTTCATGTAACTTACGAAGTGGGGCAGCATGTGATAATGGCTTACAATACCTTTCGATCATTTGAAACGCCCTAAACCAAAGATAGGTCAGTGTGTTTCGAAAGAAGGTTTGAGAACGAATTTCTGTGTGTAGGTGGTGAATCTGATTTCGATCCATCCTGTACCAAAAATACCGTGCCTTGAGGCTCACAGCTTACAGATGAGCAAGGAGAGCCAATCGAACAATTTACTGGAACGACGCTAAATCAAGCCAACGTGCAAGAACCCAATACACAGGTATCCCCCCGATCAGCAACGATGAACCATTTCCCGCCAATCCATCGGGTTCTGCAGAAAAATCTTGCTGATACAGATCGATCGAGGTTGGCACGTTATGTATATTCGCTTGATGGGCTTGCATGGTGATCATGACTTATAGTAAGGTGACAACAGTAAGGAGAATACAGAATTGGACTAAATATCAACGACGATAAGTCAAGTTCATGCTTCAGGTATGTCCGATATGTCTACTGCATTCAGCGACTACTCTTCCAACACTCCGCTCTCTTCCATCTTATCTCTTTAGTTTTATAGTAGGTTTCAAAGCGGGAAGTGGGAAATACATCCTATTAATTTAGAGTTATAATTTCATTGACATCACATTGTCTACTAGATTGCACTATCTATATACCTATAGACAGCTACAAGACACCAATGGCGTTGAAGCTAAAAAGGCAATTGATAAGGAAAGGCTTTCTGGCGTGGCTGATGTCATCGGAATAACTGAATCTGTCGTCGTTTTCGGCGTTGATATTGTTGTTAAAGAGTTGGTAGCCATCGGAATGGAGGATAAAGGCACCGAAGAAATAGAAATTGGATAGGAAGTGCTGCACGAACTTCCAACCTTGAATCCATCCTCGAGGGTACACTCTGTCTTATCTCTATTTCGATTGAAGAAAGTGACTAGACCATCGTGATTGATCTGTATCCAAGCGACTAGTAAATCCTTTTCTATGCTATAGATGTCTACTTTTAGCGAAGTTTGGCTTTGGCGAGTCCTATTTATCACTTTAGTAATATCTAGGAGTACGTTAATATATATTGCTTTAAGGGTTATAGAAGGGTTGCTTCTCACTTAAACAATCGTTTCTATTAAGAAGACCGAAGGACTTAGAGTATCCCGTGCAACCATGGTTATAATTAGACCAAATCACGCATTGTCTATCATAAGCAATAACCTTAAGAGCACCGCCTAAGGAGGAGCGGATATAGATACTAACGAGCAACAGAAGAATATAGAGAAACATTTAGTAGGCTTAGTATCCTTTAAGCTGAAATTAAATCACACCTAAGGGGGATCCACGACTTAAATACTTTTATATATGGTGTCGTGGCAATACGTATATAGGACGCTATCGGGGCCGCACTCTACGGTTTTGATTAGCATCCCCTGCAATAGGGTTTGGTAGAATAGAACTCTGTATGTAAGATAGTGGGTGCTTTAATTCAACGTAGGATTACCATTATTGGCAGGTGAAAACCTTGCGTACCTACTCTGTATATATTGCGCTAATTACCGGTTTAAGGATTTACTACGACCACGCACTATAGAGTGAGTGCGTTAGTGCTTAATGCTGTATAGGATAGATCGAATCGGTTTTACCACTTTACACTCTATGATTCTTTACTATACCTATTTCGAAACACTAGGCCCGATTTTTCCGGGTGTGCTTGAAATTGTCGAAGTGTATTGTAAGGAATAGTCTAAAGGCCACCAGAAAAAAGACCAAGCCTGTCTTTTCTAAGTACGGGATACGGGATGCTGAAACATACTTATGCCGAAATTGTTGTTAGTAATGACACTATCGTTTCTGCTTGGCAGAAACCATGGATCCTATAAGAGCATATTGCTTTACCCTATATAAAGACAAATCTCTTATTCTCAACATAGTCTAATAAGATCGCAAATTGTATCTAAGACCTATCAAAGCCATAGGAAAGTTTCTACATGTCCTAATGCGTAAGGCATTTGATGCTCAGCATATCATGCGATTTACTAATTGGTATTATTAGCATAGAAACGCCAGGCTCGTAAGAAAAAGTTTGTGCTTAAGACCTCCCTAGGGCTACCTTAGACAGACTCCGACAAGGAAATATTCTATCCGAACTAGGAACTAAGGCCAAAATGGGTTTGCGGCGAGGCCAAAGACAATGACGGGAAGCAACTTGTTACCTTTAGGCGCAGGGGTACCTCGCCGCATCAATTCAATATGAATACCAACACGTTGGCTGCGATAAGGGGCCAGGAGTTTGAGAAGATCTCAACCAGCAATGGGTTTACATACCGGAAGAGATCGATGCCTATACCAAGCTCTCAAGAGTATCGATTGCATTAAGTAGGGGAAGGTAGCTAGCTTGCTTTTTCCACTCTTTCGAGCATCGACGCCCTTCTTCCCAATTTTGCCAAATTGTTTCTCCCTACAAAGTTTGTGTTTTAGGACTAGCTCGTCATTATCTTTGTACCAGATATATAGTGTTAGTGAAGGGGAAATAATGTTCTCTGACTTATACCTATTTATCAGTAGTGGTCAGTAGTGGCCCTATTTTAGATCAATTAAAAATTGGTGCTAAGGACTTCCCTCACCATAGAGAAATAGCGGCCTCTGATGATTAACTTTACCACTTGAATGAGCAACGCTGCTAATACAGCTAAATTCGAAATTGGCTTCCACATTTTACACGGAGAAACTCTCCCAAACCCTAACGCCAAGCCGATGGTGAAACTACCTAGGCTCAATCTGGCTAGACTGCAGATCATTTCTGTGCGTCAGAATGGAAATATAAAGTATCTGACAAGACCAATACACCAAAGCGTTGAATTATACGTCATTCGCAGTCTTCCCAACTCTAACCACCTTGACCCCGCCACGAGACGAACACCCGCGGCACAAAATCGTTCTAAATCTACCTTTCTCCACCCCAGAATTCATCCGCGGTAAAATTCTGAGCAAGTAAATAACTACGGCCCAGATCGCTGATGCCGCAAAATGCAGCCCGCATTCCGTCACCACCAGGACTTTGGGCGGGGCAGGGCGATGATATCCCAATATTGACTGGCTGAGTGATAGGAGCGTAGACATTTTGCTTGGATAGCGCGGTATTGGCCACGAAGTCACCTGAGAATAAGGCTGAGGCTAGGCGCTAAATAATAGGGGCCCGGCACCTTTCTTTTACCCGTAACTTGAACATCGTCGGCATCGTATATTGATAATGACTTCTATATCGTTTAGCGGCCAAAATCAAGGGTTACAGGTCGGTACCAGTCACGGGCCCATATACTATACATCTGGTGAGATTCTAATCACCTAAAAATTGGATCAAGATCAGAATCAAGGACTAAAAGTGGCTTTCCGCCCTAGAGCAACCGGAACCCCGCCCAGAGCCACTGTCGACCGTGCCGTTCCCGCATAATCCAGATTTTGTCAGCCGCGATGAACTCCTCGATCAAATCCACGAAAGGTCCTCGATCCCGGGGTCTAGAATAGTTCTCGTTAGCTTAGGGGGGGTTGGGTAAGGTCAAGCTAGCCCTTGGCGGTCTGTTTAAGGCTGACTTTGCCAAAGGAAATCTCGACTCGCGATCGAATACTGCCACCGAGTCCGACAGCAATCGCCTAACACCTGGGTTTTCTGGGTTCACGCGAGTAATGCCGCGCGCTGCGAGGAAAGTCTCCGCAACCTTGGCGACCGTGCTAAGATTCCCGGGCGCCAGGATCGCAACTCTAATATTTTCCAACTCTTTAGGAACTGGTTGCAAGATGGGAAGATCGGAAAATGGATTCTAGTCCTTGATAATGTCGATGATGACGAGCTCCTTCGGAAACCATTAACTACTCGGATAGAGGCCCAAGCAAACACCCCGAGGCATGCCCTAACGCAGCCATAGCTAAGGTACCTTCTCGAAAGCTCGAATGGCTCTATCATCATCACGAGCCGTAACAAAGCTGTAGCTTTGGAAATCGCCGGCCATGAGAAAAGTCTGATCGATGTGCAACCAATGAATATGGCCGAGGCGTTGGTTCTAATACAGAAGAAGCTAGATTCATCTATAGCGAGAGAGGATTTGGTTCAGCTAGTCCAGGAACTTGAGTTCATGCCACTCGCGATTGTGCAAGCGGCTAGCTACATCACCCACCGTTCGCCCCGATGCTCGGCATCGCAATACCTCGAAAAGCTTCGGCAGAGTGATCGCCAAGCCACGAAACTTCTTAATCACGAGGGGAAACACACCCATCGAGACTAGGAGGCAAAAAATTCGATTCTACTGACTTGGCAAATATCGTTCGACCATATCCGACGGATCAGGTAGTCTGCGGCTGATTTACTGTCTCTTATGAGCTTTTTCGACTGGCAGGGAATCCTAGAGGATCTTCTACGGGTGCAAGACATAGAAAGAAACCGTGAACCTTTGGGTTCTTCGCAAGACATTGTGGATATATCAAGTGATGAGGATACGGATTTTTCGTCTGAACTCGACGTAGATGACGATTTTAAGAGCGATATTGCGACTCTTAGAGACTATTCCTTTATTGCTCCTAGTGAAGATAGCATCGTGTTCACGATGCATCGGCTAGTGCAGCTAACAGTACGCATATGGTTGAAAACCTACAGTTAGGAGGAGGAGTGGAAGGAACGTTTCATTCGCAACCTAAATAGTGAATTCCCGACTAGTGAATACGAAAATTGGGAGAGATGCCGGTTACTATTTCCTTATGTTAGGTCGGCCGTGTTACATCGACCGAAATCGCAAGATTCACTCCGGAATTAGGCCGCACTACTCTATAGAGGGGCGTGGTATGCGCAAAAATGTGGCAATATTTTGGATGCAAAGGATATGGCAGCTATGTCAAGAAAGCAAAGAATGAAGATTGGCGGCGCCGAAGATGAAGACACCCTTAACAGCACTGCGATGTTAGCAGTAGCATACCGACTAGAGGGGCGGTAGGAAGAGGCGGAGCAGCTCGAGGTGTAGGTCATGGAAACGAGCAAGACGAAGCTCGGCGCGGACCATCCATCTACGCTGACGAGTATGGCTAACCTAGCGTCGACGTATAGGAACTAGGGCCGATAGGAGGAGGCGGAGTAGCTCGACGTATAGGTCATAGAGACTCGTAAGGTGAAACTCGGCGCGGACTATCCCTCCACGCTGACGAGCATGGCCAACCTAGCGTCAACGTATAGGAACTAGGGCCGATAGGGAGAAGCGGAGTAGCTCGACGTGTAGGTTATAGAGACTCGTAAGACGAAACTCGGCGTGGACTATCCCTCTACGCTAACGAGTATAGCTAACCTAGCGTCGACGTATAGTGACTAGGGCCGATGGGAAGAGGCGGAGCAGCTCGAGGTGTAGGTCATGGAGACGAGGAAGACAAAACTCGGCGCGAACCATCCATCTACACTCACGAGCATGGCCAACCTAGCTTTCACGTGGGAATCTATAGGCCAGCATGCTAAAGCAATTGATTTGCTTCGAACCTGCGTGGTTAAGCAACAACGAGTTTTAGGCCCAGCTCATCCTGATACTATGTCGAATGACAATACGCTGCTGGAATGGGAAACTGCGCATCTTACTATGAAGGCATGAGCCGTTCATCCTTGCCCTGTTTTTCTCGCATTGAGTTCGTCTCGCTATACTGTATTCGATTGTCTAATTTTATTTACGATTCTGTACGATTCTCCCTAGCAACCATGCATTTGACAATCCATTGTTTCTTACAAGTGTAAAGTACACTGGTTGTAACGGTGTTATGAATCAACGGTACTGCGTAATTTTGAAGTAACAGCCCCTGCATCGATACTATCCGTGTTAGGACTAGCGTGTTTTGGGTTAGGGTTCCAGAAACAATCTTCTTGCCCAAAGCATGGAAGCCAATTTCGAATATAGCTGTACTGTAGAACAAGGGCAAGCAGAGTCGTCTACGAGCGGGTCCACAGCTTGCGAGGTGCCAGTATTGTCTACAGGAGCGTTACGAGTAATTTATATAATTGTCTACAACGTGATAATGACTTTCACCTGAAACTAAGCCAAGTCCGAGCGGGATTAGCGTGTTTGAAATAGGGTTAGAGAAAGGTTCTATAAGACAAAGTGGTGAAACTAATTTTGATCTATCCTATACCTATAGTACCAAGTGGCAAGACAAGTTCGGAGGTCTATAAATACCTTCCCACTAGGCATTTTCATTTGCTTTACATGATAGTCATCTATCTACTCAATAGTTTAGTAGGCCTTACGCATAAGGCGCCCTAGTATATTATTCCACTTCAATCAAGCCCTCTTTCTCAAACTTCTGCGGACGTTACATTAACCCTCAACCAGGTCCCTATTCTCTTGAATTATATCCTACAAAGCCAGATTCCCTAAAGCGACAATGAAAAGTAGCCCTGACTATATAGGTATTGGCCCTAAGTTTGACTATCTGAAAAACATAGGGGAAATACTTCTTAATGAAGACCTTCTAAGGTTTCTCGAAATGGCCTATTTATCACTTAAATTAGGAAGAGGCTTAAAGCAACGAGATTGCTACAATAGATCTCTCCTTTATTATGCTGCAATAGGGAACTACACAAACCTCCTGCTATATATTCTGCAAACTAAGCGAAATATTGAATCTCGTGATATATGGGGGCGGACACCCCTTTCCTAGGCTGCTTAGTACGGCTTATTGGCTGTTATAGAAATTCTACTAGGGAAAGGAGCAAATGTCAATGTAAGGGATTATAAGGGCGGAACACTATAGACATGGCTGATACACGCGGGTGACTCTATAAGCAAAAGCTTGCCGGCTACTAAGGCTTACCTTAGAGAGAGAGGCGCGAAAGAAGTTTGATTGAGGGGCATCAAGCCGGTCTAGGTTTAGGTCTTAACTTATTTCTGCTTACTCTTATATATTCGGCCGTGTATCTAGGTTTCCCAATGACATAAACTAAGTCTCTGTGAGTAGATGGTAAAGCTGATTTCGATCTATCTTGTACTTTTTACTATGGCTGTAGCTCGTGATATTTTAGTGTTTAGATATATTAAATAAGGAAGATTTATATAGAGCGAGAACCAGCTTCACCATTTTCCACTCCTTTTTAAGTAGTGTCCTAGCGGCGGGGCCTAGAACTAGAAGAGTATAATATAGTGATAGAGAGGTCCTAGTTCTTATACACAGGCAATATATAAACTAAGAAATGGTACGCAATGAAGGAATTTCAGTAGCCATGTACTCATTCGCGCATTGCTTTAGCGAGTACCGAGCGTTGTATCACAATAGTGGATATCTTTATTTTAGGCTATTTTCCCGCTATTCGCGCCTAAGCCACTGGATACAGCGATATTAGAATTCAAAGATCCACCTAGGGCTTAAGGCGTAAGCCACGAGCTCCAATCCATAGGATTATCCTTCAATCTATCATCCTATTCAAAGGTGTTCGTAGCATAAATTTGCCTATCTCGAGGGGAAATATCAAACTCCCGAGATGCGTTTTATATATCAAGCGGCGTCGGAGCTATTAGGAAGCCAGCATAGTAATGGTATATAAGCTGCATATTCTCTACTAATATAAGAGCGGCACAGAATCGGTAAGTAACAATTGGCCTAAGGCCAGTGATAGACTGCGTTATAGGAGGCATAGTGGGTGGAAATCACGCGTAGGAAAAGATTTGTGCTAGAGGATGAAGGTTAAACATGGGTTAAGAAATAGGTACAGTATAATAACAAACACTCTCTGCGCCTATATATCATCTGTAATACATTAGTCAGCGAAAGGGTACATATTTGGGGTCGCATGGATGGTAATGTTTCGGGTTCTTGGCGTAGTTGGCTTCCTTGATGGATGTGTTGTCAATCCTGAGAATAAAGATTTTGTCGCAGCTTTAGTAAGCCGCGACCCAAATTTAGCAAGCTGCGACCGGAATGTCGTGCCGGCATGATTTTGTGGCGATAAGCCTTGTTACGCGCACAGATGACCTTATACATTAAGCCTTGTTTGACCCCTACCTAGACCGACCAATGACGTTTTACTTTAGGCGCCGTTAGTGATAATGCAGCTAGCGGAGACTCCCGGTCTATTCCGGTTAGCTGAGGGCCTTAGGGACCTATTACTGCCTATAGAAGGTTGCCGATCTAAAGCGGTATCCAGCGATTTTCTTAGCTAAAGCATTCAACTACGTAGCATTTGTGATAATAATTATTATATATAAGCATTAAAATATTTCAATTCCAGGATATTCTAGGATATCTAAGATGGAATTCTATGTCCCGCGTGATCGCACACATCGCTCACTCGATTTGACCAGCATCCCCCTCGGTTTTCATGGTAATGATATCAATAGAGGAACTGTCGTCTTACTGCTCTACGTGAGCATTTAAGTGAACGGAACTATGATTTTCGGCGGAAAATCCTAGAAAAGCTTCGGCTAAAGTAGTCCTTAGGTCCTATACCATTTCTTCACGGATATAAAGAGTAGCTTGTAGCTAAATAAGCTGCTCTCGCTACTATTGATTTTCCACTTAGAGTTATTAAAGAGACCGTGCGCTCTCCTTAGAAACATGATACACTAAACTCTAGTTTAAGCAATAGAGTATCGACTCAATAGATAGATATAGATCAGCTAGACGGGCTTTAAGCTCCTAAACTCTACCCCATTCTAGAAGCAAATCATTAGATATTGCCTAGCATATTTCGGCAGCAAGACGTAAGGAGGCTTTATGTTATGATTTAGCGTACTCTAACCCAGCCACCTTTCGCTCAACCTAAATATAGTGATAGCTCAATCTTTGGTATACGACAGAATCGCCACTAATTCTAGCCTTAAGGCGCCCCTAGTAACACCGTGACGCTTATTCCTAGTGAAGCAGCTTCTCGAGAAGGACAAACACGTTACTTTCGTAAGTGTCTACAGAAAATCCTTTCTAGAGAGAAGCAGTCAGCTTGCGAGTTCTAATCTAAGATATTTAAATATACCTAGCTTTCATTCCTAGTGGA